TATGCCGTGTTTTCCAGTAGTGATTCTTTGTAAACATCAAGGGTTGTTGCCTACATTCTTTTTTTTTAATACAATATCAAATATTTATACCTTACAAAGCTCATTATAAATGGTATTCTATAGTGGAAAGTATTTTGTACCCTTAGCTCTCTTTCATTCTATGGCTATAAAAATTCAAAGTTACTTTTCCATGAAAAAAGAGTAACTTATCTAAAATTAGATATTTGGCTTTGAGAAAAAAAAATCTAAAATTAGACTTGGTACCTATTCATGTACCAACAATAGTCAGATCATTAATACCAAGTGTAGGTTAGGTAAGTTGTTCCAATGTATTTTTGATCTCTTTAACAACTTCTATTCCTGCAACAACATCTTTTGTAGGCAAAGATGTTCTAGCTACTTCAACATCCATGCACTGCTTGATCAAAGCATGAGATCAACCATGTTGCAAGCTATCCAGATTTTAAAAAAGTTAGTAGGGGTATCTTATTTGATGTAAAACTTCTTATGCTATTGTAGCAATCTCATGAAGAAACCAAGAATTTCATAGAACAAGCATGGAACCTAGCAGATTTTTTTGAGGTTACCACGAAAGAACTTGAATTTCTATGTTAAATCAAGGTCCCATAAGGGTTTGACACAAAAGGCATGGCTTCATCTAAGTTTGTTTATTACAATCTAGAAATGATTACACCACTTTGGCATGAGAAACTAGAGATTTTGTTTGTCACTAATGGGACTTCTAAGTTACATTATTACACCAAGAAGCACAATGGTGCAATGCGTTGGATGGAAAATGCCCTCATTTCCCCTTTCTCATGTGATATGTCAAAAGATGGAGTTGTTGCACGTATAATTAGGTTAGATTTGTATCTTTAGGCTATGTTCTTGAATTGATTATGTAATAGTAGGTTCTTGTAAAGGTATAATTAAGGTCTTTTGTCTGCACTTCATCATTTGTTGACTTGGCCTATTTTTTCTTTCTTTTTACCATTTGGAATGTTAATTTCTCATAAGACATGAGCCAAAGACTTGTTATATTTAATTTCTATGCATCAGGTAGTTATTTCTACAAGAATTGCGGGCTGGTAATTTATTTTATATAGGACAATTCTTGCTTATGAAATTCAATGTTCCATCAATTAGTTTGCCATGTTGTTTGAGTTTTTTCTTTACCCTAAATTGCCAAGGTATAAGTTTTGGAAACCAGTCCACCCATCTGCCAAAACATATTTTCTTGTGGTTTTGTTTTTAAGTTAAATGGATACTTTTGTTATTTTTGCTAACTTATGTAATCAACTACTTTGGTTGATATTGTATTGTTTAAGAAATTCCTTTATGATACTCTGTCTAATTAAGAAAATAAAGAAGATAGTGAGATATTTAATTAGACAAAACCTTGTTCTTGATAACATTTTGTATGTTTGGTAAATAAGACAACAAAGATTGACTTAGATTTATATATATATATATATATATTGGTACATGATATGATGCTATATAATATGCTCTCGTTTCCAAAATCCTGCCCACCCATCTCAAGATATAAACTTGAGACCTCTAACTTAGATTTTTTAGACTCCTAACTACTTGAGATAAACATTTAGGGGGAGAATATTATGTTATTATTATTTACTCATTTACATATATTTATAATTCACTGTTTATTTATCTTTCTATTTGACATCTTTCGACTCTCATGAGAATGCTAACAATTCAGCTCCATCACATTATTGATAAAGAAAATTTAGAACAAGCAATCAAGTATGTTATTGATTGTGGAGTCATTGATCACTGGCTACCTGCACTCACACATGGCTTCCCCCAAAAAAGATATAGAAGGAATAGAAGAAAAAGAATATGACAACAATGATGATGATGATGAACAAGAAGTTTCCTTTGATCCAAATGGCATTAGATCAATAATAAAAAGGCAATACCACACATTGGTCGAGTTTGTAAGGCGAGCATGACTGTTAAACAGTCAAATTGGTCAACTACAAGCACATTGGTCAAGTTTGTAAGTTAAGCTAGATTGTCCAAGAGATTCATATAGGTTTATTTTTTTTCATGTTCCGGTGGAGGAATTTTTTAGTTTTCACTGGAATTTTCTTCACCTTGCAAAAGGTAGTAAAAATTTTCACTTCGTTGATTTTTAGATGTAGCATCAATCAATCAATCCTACATGAATAGCATATATTTCCAATCTTTTAAATAATAGAGTATTGATAAGAGGAACATTTTGAGTTCCTGAATGTGAAAATGTGAAAATATGCTTTATAGACTAGCCTACAAGTGTGTTAGTTAGTCCCTAATTTTGGCATATAAAAGAAACCCTAATCTTGCATTTGAACAAGGGAATTTAATAGGGATTTCATTTCATACAAAGTAGAGCTATTCTTTGTCAAGTTCAAGAGAGTATGACTAGTTTATAAAATGGAAAATTTTGAGGGGTTTCAAATTTAACATTTTGGGTGTCATTGAAAAATGACTAGTTTTTGTACCAAAACAAAAACATTTGACAAAAGGCATAACTACCAAATCCATTCCTCAAATAGGAGGATAAGGACAAATTTGCCTATCAAAAAGAAGTAAGGACAAATGGCCTCTTTAAATTATCAATCAAGATAATTCACCCATTATTTAACGTATGATGTTATCATATGTCAAAAATTCATTTACCACCTAAACATTTTTTAATGGAAAGTTAACATGTGATGATGTCACACATTAAAGAATGGGTGATTTGTTATGATCAATAATTTGGAAGGGCAATTTGTCATTGCCTTTTTTTTAGGGATGCGTTTATTTCTATCCTCATATTTGAAGGGTGGATTTAGGGGTTTTGCCTTGACAAAAAGAGATGTAATATAAAGACTTTGAAATTCTTTTTATAAAAAGGCCTCCTAGAATGAAAAACTCTGCATTTGAACTCAAATGTATAAATTGCCCAGACAAGACCAATCCACTGAAAACTCTACATCTTAGGGTGAGGATAAATTATGCCATTTTGATATATATGGTATATGATAGGGAAGAATAGCTTGATAAATGAAAATTAGATGATGATATGGTAGCCATGTAGTAACTATTTATATTTTTTATATTGTTTTCACTGTCGATGTAATTAATCTTGGGTTGTCCTTTTTAAAATGATCTATGATTGAAGCTACAGGAGTATTTATATGGATGGCAATGGGTTTCCGTGGGGGTGGGGACCTCATCCCCATCTCCACTAATGGGTGGTACGAGGATGTAAACCCTATATACTTTAGTGAATAAATTAGAAATTAGATTCCTTTATTTTAAAGTTTTAGGGATTAAATTGATTTGATTTAGAGTTTGGGGGTTTTAAGTAGAATTTAGTAAGAGTTGAAGGGTGTTTACCTCAGTTATTCCAATTTTGTGCCAAGTGGCACTATGTCAACCAAGCAAAACAATTTTGTTGGACTTAAAATGGAAGCCTCTCGAACCCCACCATTCCTCTACATCTTTCCTTCTTCCAGTCGATCCCCTACATCTTTCTTTTTCCAGCTAGGTGTTGTGTTAAAGCTATGTAAGGACGCACTCTTTAGTTGAAATTCCTTGCAATTTCTATTGTTTGGGGCTTTGATTTCCATAGGTAAGTATGAGTTTTAGTTATAAATTTGGGTTAGAGTTTTGGGTAGATTAAAAATTTCTTGTAATATACTAGAATTTAGTTTAAATTATTGAGATTTGACT